ATCTTCCTCAAATAAGTTGCTTTCAATCGATATTATAAGCCTAGTGCCGATGTTTATATTAGTTTTCTCGAAAAACCCAAACCAATTGCTGTGAATATTAACTGCACGGACAGCCTGATGGTTGTAATGTACTTCAAAATCACCGTGGTGAAGATCCATATCAAAAGTTTTAGGATTTCCATCATAAAACAGAAGAGCTTTTGATTTCCCCATTAAACCATGACGAACAACCAAGTGAATTGGATTGGCTGTTGAAAAAAACACAAAACACAAAAAGAAATCAAACGATTAAAACTAAATAATTAACAAAAAAAACTAAACATGAATTATACGAATTTAAAACAAAAAAAGAAAATCATCAACATAGGGTTTTAAATTAAACACTCACCATTTTACCAGTGATGATAACTTGTTCATCGAGGTGATAATGATAAAAATTATCATGAACATAGGGAAACATTGAGAAGGGTTCATCATCATCATCACCTGGCAATATAAGGTAATATGAGAAACAAAGTATATAAATAAATGACAATTCAATCATAATTATTTTTTTCTGTAATCATAAAAATTATAACTAACCATCGGACAAATCAGAAGATACATAAGAATTCTGCACCGAAAATCCAGAAAGATAAAAAAAATTGTAGCACGGAAGGATTTATCACCGGTCGAAGAAATCACAACATGATATCCGACGTTAATATCCCAAGATCTATAGAAAGTTTGCCATTGCATTCCACTAAAACCAACAATCTTACCAGAAACCCTTGCCAAATCAAAATGCCATATGCCCTCACCATCACCCACCATGAAACAATCATGAGGTCTTGTAAACATAAAATACGACCAAAAAGTTTTCGATATCAACTGCAAAAACAGAAATTTGTAAATTTAAAATAAAATGATAAATATCAATAATTATTCAATCATATCAATAGAAATAAACTAACCGCTTTATCATAAGAGTCGTCAACTATTTCAAGACAAAATCGTACACCTCCTAATAATATAGGTTGATGGCAATAATCAAAATTTTGAACCCCACAATGATCATAGGTGATAAATTTTAGTATGTAGTCCTCAACTACTATGATATGAAATTTGGATCCAGGAACCAGACCACTGCTTCGAATGAATTCTAAGAATCTACCACAACAAAGACATCCCCGACCTTTACGTGTGATAAGCAACTTCACATAAAAATCACCAAAGTCAGTGCGAAGATAAACATATCCTTGTGGATTTTCCCTATTAAACAATAACGGCATTCGACTGGAGATTTTTTGAAATAACAATACAGGACAACAATATTAATTTTTTTAAAAAATATTACACAATAGATACCTCAACCGAATGAACAATTATGGATTGGAAATTAAAAATAAGAAAAAAAGGCCAAATCAAAAGCATATGTAGGTAATGAAAAATATCAATCCTTTCGTAGCAACATCTTCCGGCACTGTAGAGATGAACTCCAAATCCATCGCAAATTTCTATAAACGACGACAAATTTGCAACAAATTAAAATCATATAGTTAATAAAAAAAATATCAAAAAAATTAAAAGCAACTCTCTAAAAAATACCTGATAATATCGAGCAGTGTGGATTCTGTAATACCCACTGGTGATCATTTTATAGTCAGAAAATATTACACTCTCGCAGAACAAATCATATCGCAACAAATACTAGATATACATTATTTTCTGTTGGCATTTTTAAAAAAATCTAATGAGATAAAAATCCGACGAAATACAACTTCAGAATAATAAATTTATGGGACTCTCACAAAACAAATTACTTCGCAACAAATAACGGATAAAAATTATCTTCTTTTCACAGGTTTTATAATTCAGATTTAAATACATCTTAATCATTAAAGATGGAACGGTAAATAGGTAAAAACTAAAAATTACACGCCAAAAATTACGGTGGTCTAAATGAACTCCTTTTCTCCAATTATCCAATTCGGTTTCTACAAACGGAACAAGTGCCGCAAATCTCTCCTGCTTTAGTATATATGATTAATGCGTAAAAATATTATTAGAAGGTGATAACTATTGAATATGTTCCAATGTTTCTCACCCATATAACATGTTATGCCATCAATTTTGATTGGCTAAATTTTAACTATACGGATCAATAAAAAAAGAGCAACTGGACTCAAGAATTTCTCTCTCTATATATATATATGATTTGATATCCTATAAAGTAGAATTTATTACAGGTATATATAATATGAATATATGATCGTAATCTAACACCGGGAGTGCTTACGCACTTTAATGTCATATTAAAATGAACGTTTTCCATGTCGTGCTGAAGACATTTTTAATATCAAATTTATAGTCGAATTGGTCATGTAAGATTTAGACCTGTTTAGAATGTAAAAAGCTCGTTTTTGAATCATTCTATATCGACTTCGTTCCAGGTTTTAATTTGAGAATAAAGAAAGTAATGGGCACTAACACAATTGGAGAAACGTTACTATTATATTTCTCTAGTTAGAAATGTGTAATGCCAATACGCCAAACTAAATTGTAGTGTGTCATTTTCAAACAATATTTCTTTTTCCCTTTTTGCTTGCGAGAATCATTCAAGAGAAAGAAAAAGCAGAAAAGAGGGGGTAAAAATGAAGAAGACCGAATACAATCTTATTACTACAACATTACGCACTATAAATCTGGACGAGGTAAACAGGAAAATTGATTAAAATGAGAAGTCTTCCTTTTTTATTTGTCTCATATGGTCTCTTACTCCCAAAATAATTACTTTCATAGAAATGATCGATTTTAGACCGAGGGAAGTCCGTCAATTTTCAATTTAGAAAGGTTTATCTTTAGTGCTCAACTTTATTTTTAACGAGAAAATGGATATAATTTAAAGAGGTAAACTGAAATCTGTTACATGTATAATTTGACCATATTTCGTATCGTGTTTTTTTATATGTTCATAGTCAGGTTAACAGTCGAATTGGTTACACAGGTTCTAACAAAATGTATTTAGAAAGTAAAATTGTGATTTACTATTCCTTACGTATCAAAATTATTATTCAGATTAGATTTTCATTTTTACTTTTACTAAATAATTTTTATTGAATTAGAAATGAAAATCTAAATTCAATAATAATTTTGAGACAGAAGGAGTGTTATTTATTTATTTATTTTTATAATCATTCACTTTAGACCTGTCTCGAAATCGAGAGATCAACAAGACAAGCATGTTGGTTGTATGCACATGCCTCAATTCTTGCATGTTCCGATAAGCGAATTTGGCAATCGAAAAAACATCTAAATCGTATTCCTTTGTGGTCACAAAGGAAGTTTCGTTTTGAAAGTTCGTTTTTGATGATGATATATTCGTCACGCCAAGACTAATTGTCTCACAGCAATTAAAACCGGTGTTCTTAGTCCCTATTCAAACACTTTTAGAAGTCTGGAGGAAAATAAAAGGTAAATTATACAGAAGAGTATTTGACTTGCAAAATCTTTTCGTTGAAAGTTGAAAAAGCAATGTGCCCAATTGAATGAGTTCATGGTTTTCTTCGACAAATTTGCAATGGCCATCAAAGAAAGTACCAAATAACACTAATTACCAATGACATATCCTTTTAATTTTGTTTTATAAAATTAGTTATATTGTTTTTATTACAATTTAAAATTTACAATGTGAGATATTTAGGTGGAGAAAGAGAGTAGTTACTCGAAATTTCTTCTTGTTGTCCGCTCAAATAACGTTCGAAATCCATGTGAAAAATGATTTTCTCCCTATCATGAATATACATATTGCCTCTTCTATTATATAAATTATTTTTGATAATAATCTAATATATATATATATATATATATATATATATATATATACCAAAACAAGTTTAACAAATGGTATCATGTTAAAATCCCGTTGGACTTGAAAACAAGTGAAAGACACTTATCCTACATTGGAGTTGGGAATCTAACTTGATCACCATATATACCCATGTTACTACAAGAAAATTACCATTTGCCCACAGATACGTTTGTGTGTAATTTTGTCTTACAGTCCGTGGGTAACATAATTTCCAACGGATTTATCCACAAACACAGAGACGTGGTTATATGCTCCGTCGCAAATTATTTTTCCACGGAAAAAAGGTTTCATAGATGATTTATCCACAGATATGTTTGTGGATATACCGTGTGTAGATATTGGTGGCTTTTTGGTGAAAACACGACGACTTACATTGTGGTGGATAATCTGTGGTTAGTTTCCACAAACATTCCGTAGATACTCGGTGGTAAATTTATCCACGAACCTTCCGTAATAAAGTCGTTGCTAATTTTATCCACGAACTAACCATGAGTAAGACATGGTTAATCTTTTCCATAAACTTTTCATAGCAAAATTGTGGATAATTTTATCCACGAACTCAGCAAGATTAATTCGTGGTTAATCGTTTCCCACAAACGTTCCGTAGCAAATATGTGGTTAATATTATCCATGAACTGACCGTGAATAATCTATGGTTAATTTTATCCACGAACTGATCATGATTAACCTGTGGTTAATTTTAACACAAACTTTTTGTAAGAAAATTGTGGATAATTTTAACCTCAAGTTGTCCATGGATAGTCCGTGGATAATTGTGTGTAATAGAAATTTTTATTTTTAAATTTAACCAAGGATGATTCGTGAAAAATCACATAGAACATCCGTGGATAAATTAATCTTTCTATTTTTTAAATTTTTGGATAATTTGAAATAAAATATTATATATTGCTTAAAAAAATAAAAACAACATTAGATTAAATTTAATAAAATGTAATATAATTTATTATAATATACTCCACTATCCATTGATATAATACAAAATAAATTACCAAAATATGACAATCCAAAAATCGAAAAAACGAATTACAATCAAATCCATTATTGGTGGTTGTAAAAGAACCTCTAGGCTCAAAGAAAAAAAAAAGAGACAAAAAGAAGCTCATAAACATTCAAAATACCTCATCATCAACTAATCTGAGAGGTGGTTGCCATCCATTGAATCTCCATCGGATTCGCTACCATCCTCATTTCCAGAATCCATTGAACCACTATCTGACTCACTATCTTCCTCATCGCCATAATCCATTGAACCTTCTTGTGATTGACTTTCATCATCACTATCATCATTACTACTATCTGAAGTATAATTTTCTACTTCAACACTTTTCTTACCTTTAGGTTGCAAAATCTCAGTCGAGAAACCAAGATGCTCACATAAGCCATTGAATTTATTTTTCCAACTAGTCCTTTCTGCTCGTAATTGCTTCTTTACGGCTCGTAACTCCTCACTCATAACAAGTATGGCTTTCTTGTATTGTGACTCTGTTTCTGAAGTTTGTGTTGCACTTATCTTATCAATTGGTGATGAAAAATATGTAGATGATTGACACCCAAGGCCATAGACTCTCCCTTTTTTCTTACCGCCTGCAGCCTCCAAAAAAATGCCATCCTTGTCTATTGATTGATCACCTCGTGCAAATTCAGGGTTTGCCTTATGTCTTTTTGTTAACTGTATGACATTGTCCTAGAGGTATACAAAAAAAAAAAAAAATAAATAAATCTCTAGTAACTAAGCAACAAGAATAAATATCCCCTCTCCACCACCCCATAAACGCACACAAAATATAGCAAAAAATGCATGTGTAAATTTAAACGTATACTTACATTAGTCTTTTTTTATTTACTATCAACAAAAGTCATTTGATCATGCTTTTTCGTGTGCGTGTGCAAAAACAACTCGTGCTGTTGGCGGTCGACCTTCTCTAGCTTCCTGCAATAACAGTAATCAAATTAAATTACTCTAAAGGATTGAAGTAGAAAGAAAGTATTATGAGATAGAAAAATCATTAAATGTAATTATACACTGCAATGTCATCTTTAGTCCACAAAGATCATGAAAATACAAGTTAACAATTGCCTTAGAAAGATAAAAAGTAAAAAGCTTACCAAATTTATCTCATGCTCGAAATAGGAAATTGATCGACCAGTGTGAGATGATTGTTCCACACTCCGTCGGTTACTAGAATTTCGTTCGGACATTTTTCTATATTTATCACTACTCCAATGATTTTTGAATTGTTTCCAAGCATTATCAGACAAACAAGTTGGTTTCTCATTCTTCTTTCTCAACTTCCTTGTGAACTCGCCATAGCATCGGGCAGCCTTTTTATCCCACTCGGTCCTCACTTCACATTCAAGGTGAGATTCCCATTTAAAGAATTTCTACACATTTAAAATTATTATTATTGAACAGAAAAATTTATAAAAAATTAAATAAAATATAATTAATAGTACCTTAAACTCATCAAAATAAAAGTCTTTGGTGGGTTGAGAAACTTTTGACCATGTGAACCCTCCAACATCAATTTTCTCCAGAAATGTTTTAGATGTTTTTCTGGCACCAGTACTAAAAATACGCACTCTGGTACAATTATGAATACAATATTAAGATATGACATCATACTAGATTAAAAATAATAACATATTTTAGAATACTTACTTTCCCTTGTACACCTTAATCTCTGATCTACCATCCTGAATTTGTGATTGAGAGTTGTCATCAGCTGTCTGAACAACATCATTTGTTTCTCTAGCATCATGAGACACAAAATCCCTTTTGCTTTGGCTTCTCAAGCATCTCAAGTATACTTTGCACCTTACCCAAGTTTGAAGCGGGATAAAATTGACTGGTGGGCTGTTTGTAAAGTCAAACCAAGATCAACTTATGATGTTCCCATTGAAGAACACCTTTTCAAAAACAGGAGGTGGAGGAGCATAGCATTGATAGTAATGATGAGAATAGATTCAGGTTGGATGATATGTAGCCTTTGCTGATAATCAAATTCCTGCTACTATGTAATTATTTCTTAGCATATCTGTTATATTTTCTTTTTATTCTTACTATGTAAATTGTAAGTAATATGGTAGTTGCTTATATTCTGGTTTATGGGAATCAGTAACAAATGGTGGATGATAGTATAGAAGCTTTTATTACTTCTGTTGTTTGACGAATGTTAAAGTATATTTTACTTGGTTGAGGTCTGCATATGCAACCCATTTGGTCAATATTTTGCAATCATGCAAAAATGCTTCTCTTGTACTGTATTTTTTATTTGTTCCTCAAAAGACTTGACCTATTCAATCAATTTGCCAGGTTTTTTGGTTTTGTTCTCCCTATTGCCGTTGAACCTAAGCCCATGACCTCGGAGCTTTGTTTCTCATGATCCCCGTCTTAAGCTGCTTGGACATTTCTGGCTATAGTTAGAGGGTTAGAGCTACAACTGGCATCCAAAGCCTATGATCTAAAAGTTTTGTGTCTCATGCGTTGAAGAAAGGAAATGGCACTTGAATTTCTTTTGAAATACATTTTATGTAACAATTGTTTTAACAATGAGATCTTAGTTGACATTTGTCATTATTCATTGCTTTTTATTCTATGAACAAGGAAAGATTATTTAATAAATGCATATTATTTTATTTAATTATTTATCACTTTGAATAAAATAAATTTAGAATGAGCCATGAAATATTCACAAGTATTGTTAAAAAACTTAAAGTCATCCACTGCTCATACATGGTGTTGTTCAAAAATTTTAAAATTAATCATAGAGTATACACAAAATAATCTACATAATCTATAGTTACTATTTCCTTCGAACATCTAGTTGTGGGTAATATATATTAAGGAGTAGGTCCAAAAGTAAAATCAACAATGAATTATACACGAAATATTTCGTAGATAATATTTCCGTTGGAAGTTTGTGGGTAATATTTCATTAACCACGAAAATATCTACGGAATTATTAGCTACAAAAGATTTTGTGGATAGTTCGTAGGTAAAGAGTTCATCAGCCACGGTTTAACCACAACTATAATGTTCGTGTATAATGTCGTGTATATTCCGTGTATGTTCTGTGGGTGAAGTTTCTAATCAATTTTTCATGGATAAGTCGTGTATAAGTTGTGGTTATTTATCCATGGTTCAACTGGCCGTGTTAAATTCTGTGGTTGATTGGTCATTTTCTTGTAATGTGTGCTACTCCTCTCGTTGCCAATTGATTTTGAGGTGGAACCATATGTAGGCTTATATGGACTTTTAAATATCACTGCTGCGTTACTAAGAATGAGCCATTCCTTTTGTGGCAGCAGATCTTCTTATCCACATGTTCCTAAGTTGTAATTACCAAATCCAGATCAGGGCAATTGCAATCATTGAATTAATTGACTTCTTCTTCTTCTCAATCCAATCATCCATATTTTCTTGTGCTTCTTCATCAAGATCTCCAGCTACCAATGCCATTTTACTTGAGCTAACAAAATGAACCACCGATAACCTGAGATAGTACAACTTGAGAACTAGGCATTTGGAAATTGATCTGAACCAAACTCATGCCACAATCATAATCAACCACGACAAAGTTGAACTTGTAACTGATCCGGAAAGCACCAAATGAATGGCTACGAAAATGGATTTGGACAAATGAATCTCAACTTATGGGATCCCTAAAAATTGCTAACGTTTCCTCTTAAATTCTAACACTAAGATGAAGAAGACCTTGAAAAGCACCAAATTTCAGATGAAAGCCTACAAACTCATATCTGCACTAATTAGAACACTCTGATGGGGAAGTCTTTTTTTTCCCACTGAATTGCAGCTAAAAAGGTGAAAATGTTTTTTTGAAAAAAAAAAAAAATCTTGTTCGGGGGGTAGCTGCCAATTGGATTTTTTTTTATGATTTATTTGGTGTTGGTTATTTGTTATAGTTATTGGGCGATAACAACAATGGATTTCAAAGATTGACTACTAGGTCTTCAGTCCGAAACGAATCTTGGACTTGATGTTGTATGCAAAAACGTACCGTTGGACCAAGTTTGAAACATTTTATGTTCTGATTTTTTCTTTTCATTCTTTTTCGTATATGTTTTAAATGTATCTGTTCTTTTTGAACGTTTAAATCAATTATATATTCCGCTAGATCAAAAAACTAATTCGCTGTAATATGTTTGAAGTTGAAACTTTTGTAAAAGTAAATTAAGATGAGCACTAAATTACGAGCTATATGTCGAGGTTTAAATCTCGCTAAAATTGGGAGACAGGTTGGAGAAATAATGTCGTTTTAAAACTTAAAAGTGGACAATTAAAAGAGTCATATATATGATGGTCCAAGATATATGTCCTCCTTAGGCCAAAGTATTCTTAGAAGGGAGCTGGAATTGTTTTAAAGTTGTGATATGCAGGTGTGTGCTACATTTATCGAAAGTAATTTTTTCTGGATAATTGTTCAGCGAGATTAGTAGTGAAGTAGCTGTAAGGATTTTACGCAGTTCCCTCCTTTGCAGCTTAGCACAAAAAGAAGCATTGTGAAATTATGTATAGTATTGGAATCGGCTTGGAAGTTTCCGATGCCTTTTGATCTCTTTGTTGGGCCTGCACATCAATAAGTGTAGGAATCTGGATCAAAGGTAAACCAGGAAAATTGGATGAAATAAATGAGAAGTGCTTTTGTCTTTTGTCACGTAACTCCATTAATTTGAGAACTGGCCATCATGGCCGGTTCCGTGACCTGTTTAATGAGGCGTATTATAGACACTGTCAGGAAAAAGATAAAAATCACCGTAAAAAAGACAATTTTGCCTTTTTCATTTGGATATAGACCGCATGGTAAAAGATATAGACCGCCGTAAAAAAGACCATTCTACCCTTTTTATTTTTTCACTCCAAAATGAGTGATTCAGAGATAAGAAAAAAAATTATTAGACTTGCAGAATTTCAGGACGAAATAGGCCGAGCCGACAGATATACCGTCCAGAAGAGGTCGGGACGACAGTCGTGTCGTCCCGGCTTGGCCTAGATGGTACATCTGCCGGTTTCTAGGACCAGGGACGGCAGGGCCGCTGGCCAGTAGGGCCGACAGCAGTGGCAGCCAAGTTAGTGATGGCTGCCGCCCACAGCATCCAAGGCAACACGTGACGCTGGGGCTGCTGCCCCATCTTGAGCGAACCGGTGTGTCAACCGGGTATTTTTTTTTAATTTCAGTTTTATTTATTTATTAAGTTAATTTATCGTGTTTTATTAATTATCGCATCATAATTAAATTAATATGATTCATTTAAGTTATTTATTCATGCGAATCTATTATTTTATGCCATTTTAAGTTTTTTTTTTTATTTAGTAAGAGTAATTAGGTATTTTATTAATAAGTTATTTAAGAGTATATGTTTGGAATTTGCAAGATACAGTTGAAAACAAAGATCACAATGTTTCTTTTAACACTAATGAGATATTTCAATCACTGGATGACGCTATTTTGTGCGCACAAGAATTGCAATCAACAATGTCTTTGAATTAGTGAGAGATTTGCAGAAGGACAACAGGTACTTGCTGAAATCCAAGAAAGGTGGACGGTACAGGCAGAAGAGGTACGGAGATGCAACTACTAAGCGCTGACCAAATTCGAACACCCAAGTGACTGGGTGTAAATTTGTGGTGTTTATCAGAAGATATAAAGAATGGCTGAGCAATGTGTACAGAATCTGTCTAAATACCGGTGAAAAGGCGGAGCACAATCATCTGATGACATCCACAGGGTCATTGCCAGATGAGTAAGCTGAGTGAGGGAGTATAAAAAATGATAGAAGACATGTCTGCGGCGGGAGAAAGACCGATTTACATTCTAAAGGCACTTCAAAAGGAGTATCCAGATGCCCGTATTACGAAGCACCGAATTTGCATCTACAGAAATAAACTGCACAAGATGGGGTCCGTGGTACTATGGCACGGGTCTTGATGTTGCTAACAAGACTTTTCGGTTGGTCTGGGAACACAATTACATAATTGTGACGAAGTCAGATCCGAGTACCATGGCCTTGACCCGGGTTTTCATGGCGCACCCTGAATCAGTGAGGTTGTATAGAGCGTACCACTTGGTCGTCGGTATGGATAGCACGTACAAAACTAACGGGTACATAATGCTTTTTTTTTTAATTTATCGGGATGACTCTGAGCAACAAGAACTTTTTGATTGCCGATGTTCTATTGGATGCTGAGATTGTTGAGAGCTATCGATGGGCGTTGTTACAGTTGAGGCTATTACTTGGAGATAAAGAGCAGCCAAAGGTTTTATTCAGTGATCGAAAGTCAGGGTTAATGGCACCAATCAATGATGTTTTTCCCGAGTCTACCCACTTGTTGTGCACATGGCACATCCACAAAGATGTGAGAACCAAAAATCAGACCCTCTACGGTGGCACTTCAGTATTGCTTAAAAAGTTCAGGGAAAGAAGGTAGTCGAAAATTATGGAAGCTAAAACTGTGGAAGCATATGAAGAATAAGTCAGAAGCATGGAGCAATTGTAAGTCTTAATTAGTTTTTTTGAATAATTCTATTTGTTTTTTAAGTAGAATATTTGGTTATTAGTAAGATTAAGTACTTTCTTGGTATTGCAGGTATAGTCCTTATAAGGACTTACTTACATATGTGAAAGAAACATGGTTATCGCACAAAAAGAAGTTTGTATGTGCGTGGACGAATAAAAAGTTGTACCTTGGGAATACGACAATGTGCAAAGTTGACTATCGAGGAACCCTCATTCTAGGGCAAAAGGTTATGATGGGAATAATGGTAGAACCAGTCGAGATAACTATCAGCACATGTTGCCTTCGCCGAACGAGTATACGAGCTAAGAATAAGACATCCTGAGTGAGGGAATCTAAGCCAAGCATTACCCGCATACACTTCAGAAAACTCAACCTTCTAGTTGTCGCCACTCATCGGCCTCGATGCAAGTTGCGGGACAACAATCGGCATAGGAATTATCTTCACATAATCGAGCTGCCGAAGCACACGATTTGGCATATATGGCTCAACAAAATTCCTGAAAGCGAGCCATCAAGTGAAAATTGTTTTAGGCACCATCTTGTACATATCCTTATCGAATGGCTCCCACACCACCTGCAAAATAAAAAATTATTTATACATATTAATAAATACTTATTAAAAATTAAGAAACAAAAAAACTCAAAAATTGGAAGAATTAAACTTACATCATCTGGGGATAAGCTATCAAGGTCCTTCTGTAACTTCTTCAATCGCACCTCTCCCCTACAGCAGTACATGCGGCTGGCTTTCGTTGTCCATCTCCGGGTTCATTGCCCACCTGGTGTGGGTTATGAGGCCACAAGATCGGGAAATACTCATATATCCAGGCTAGCAATAGGATCAAACAACCCCCCATCTGCTTGACACCACTTCTACTAGAAACCCCTGACTTGTGGTAAAGGTATGCTAGAGTTGCAGATGCCCAGGAACGACTTGAAACACCATCAAGCTCATCAAAAAGCACGTGCAGCAACTGTGCATGTATTCTGCCGCCCCCGCTCTTGTCAATAAACAATGTGGCACTCAACATTATCCACATTCAAGTAGTGGCCTGCACCTCTGGGTTTGTGCTACCCCGGACTCGATCCATGACAAATGACTCTAACATATCACCATTCTTATAGTTCGGGAGTTTCATATCTTCTGCAAATATGTTTAAAAGACCCATACAGTGGTTCTTCATTGTTTCCTACTTGGGAACGTTCCTCACCATCTCTCCCTCCATAGGAATGGACAAAATGCACTGGACATCATGAAGCAGGATGGTCATCTCCCAAAAAGGCATGTGGAACGAATTCGTGTCTGGCTGCCATCGTTGCATGAACGCACATGTTAGGCCGATATCATTATGCGAGAACATTAGTGCTGGAAGATGAGACAACCCAGTCGCCTGTACCAACGGCCTCGCCCTGTCAAAACTTGAGTTATTCTTTCATGATGTCAAGATCTAACAAACGAGGGCTCTGTTCTGTAACTTGAGACAACCTCGGTCCGTACCATGCCATAACAAAGAGGCAACGTGTCCATTGAAGCTGGGAATAACCGATCCATATTCATGCCCACCTTATACTGCATTTGTTACAATCCACGGCCGGTCATCCGATTTCTTTCAACCGGCTGCTACTGCCTGAAAAAGAAATGGGATGTAATTATTAGATTTTATCTATTAACTTCAACATCAAATAACTAATAAATATAAACTTTAATTTTCACAGAAAATTAATTCATACATGCCGCTACTTTAGCACCCTTACGGGAATATGTCCCAGTCCCAGTGCCAGTACGACATCCACACAGGGTAATCCGAAGTTGTGGAATTCAGGAGGGGGTGGTAATTTACGACTCTGTAATTGTGAAACATTGTGGACAGACTCTTTTTGCTCAAACGAGGGTGCCTGCTGATATATAGGTGTGTCTAGCTCTATGTGCATAACTGCTGCCGCTCCCTTCTTGCTCCATCTCCTCATTCTCCACATGTTCATTTTCTGCCACAGTCCCTTCATTTTCATTCCAACCCTTAGCCAGGACATTTCGCGAACGCACGTGCCAATTACCCAATTCTTTGTTGATCGTACCAAGTGATTCCTGCATTTAATCAATATTAATTAAATAACTAAATAATTCGTTCAACAATATTTAATTCATTAATAAATCATATAGTCATTAATTATAAAAAAATACTAATTACTATTAATCATATTAATAAAGTAATTCCATTAATTAAAATAGAATTTGATAAATAAATTAAAAACTAAATACTAATTAATCGTAATTAAAAACTAAATTAAATTAAAATAACTAAATTAAATTAGAAAAACAAAATTAAATTGAAAGAACTAAATTAAAAGAACTAAATAAATTAATGTTAATCACCTTAATACTAATCATACAACTAATTATATTAATCATATGGTTAATAGTAATATCAATAAATTAAACTAATTAAACTAATTAAAACTAATTTAAATAAGAGAACTAAATAAATTAAAATAATTTGAAATAAATAATTAATAAATAAATTAAATTACTGAAATAAAAAAATTAATTAAAAAACAAAAAATAATTATAATTATAATTATTCAAAAAAAGGCCCGGCAGCACCGCTAACGGCCAGGAAAAAGCAAGACGGCGACCGTGCTGTCTTGCTTAAGATGGACGGCGTCTGTGCCGTCCATTTTTCCGATCGCAAGCCCCTGGGCCGTCAACTGTGCCCGGAGACGGCACCTGAGCCGTCCATGTTCCCCGGGGACTTCACCAAAGATGTCCTCTTTTTCTTGGACGACGCCGCTTGCCACAACACTTGAAGGAGATCCTGCTGTCAAGTGTTGATTTGGACGGTGGCCATACCATCCAAATCTGTGTTTCTTTTGGTGGGAGATTTTTGTTTTACTGGTTAAAAATTAGAATACTTATGTTAATTGATGTCTTTGGCTGTATTTAGCGCAATCCATCTATCCTCAAAGGCTCAATTGGAGGATTTTGGACAAAGATGAAAACCGTAAAAGGAATTGAACATTAAAATGATACATATGCATTGCTTTCACTTCTCAAAGGAACCTGATCTCTGATTACACCAATTTCATACTAGATTAAACCGCATAAAACGTCCCGTAGATTTGGTCGAACAATCATTTTCATTCCGTGTATTTGAAAATGCTCATTTACGTTTCATTTTGTCCAAAAAGAGCCATTTTTTGACTATTTACGTCCCAACGTAACTTTCTGTCCATTTGACCGTGAAAATGGAAGGTATTGTTGTCTTTTCATTCCTCTTCTGGTTTTCAAGTATTTCAGGAATAAAATAATAATTAAATAATAATAAAATAATTATAAAGTATTTATAAATTTTAAAATTTCAAAAATAAAATTTTCATCAATTTACAAGGGTGGGGCCGCAGTAAATGAATTTTTTTATCAATTACCACTGTGAACAGTAAAAATTTTTATAAAATATTAAAAAAATTTTAAAATTCAAAAAAATTCAAAATTTGAAAAAAACAACGGAAAATGGCTCCATTTACCTTCTTATCCAAGATGCTACAGTAAACCCTGAAAGTAAAATAATTTTTTTTCCTTTACAAAAATGGGGAACGGCCCCTTTCTCTTCCACCATCGCCGTCTCTCTCTTCCACCATTAACACTTCTTCTCTTCCTACAAACCAATTCAGATCTAGCCATGGCCGCCTCCAGCAGTAGCAACAATGGTACTAATTCGTTTAATTATCGATTCGATGAACATATCTGCAATGAATGTAGGTCGACATGCACAATTAAGGTATCAAGTAACAGAAATAATTTGGGGCGGCTTTATCACCATTGCCCATATCACGGTTTTACTGCCTGGGTCATTCCGATCGGAGATGCTGGGTACGGGTCAAATGACTTAAGAAGAAGGCACGTTGGGCAGGTGGATACAAATTATGAAATTGTTAATGATGGTAATCACGATGTGACAAGTGAGGGATGCAATCACATTTGCAAGTGTAACTGCAAGTGGCCGTATAAAATTCTTGTATTTCTTCATGTTAGCTGTTTGTTATGTATTCTAGTCCTTCTTCTGGTTTTAGCAAGTAAGTGATAGTGTATTTTGAGTGTATTTCGCTTCTCCATGTCAATCATAATGTATCGTAGTAGAATGTTGATCTGTGAGGGAGTTTGGAACTGAATGAGTAATTTGTGCAATTACTTTTGTCCCCTACTTTTTATTGAAACATTTTTTATCCCTTACATTTGTGTGGAAACGTTTTTCATCCAACGTTACATGGTCAAACACCAAATATTGTTTAGTCAATACAAACCCTATAAAATAAGGTCCCACTCTTGTTGGGTAACATAAAATAGTACGGTAAGGTCAATAAGTGGTGCATTCCCAGATCTTTCAAAAAGAAACCAGAAAAAAACACATAAGGTTGCTGCAATGGCTTTCCCAAATCTGCCTTTTGGTCCACGTCCAAAAGACCAGAATGATGACTTCCTTCCTGTATACTGTAAGTATGATTATAATTATAATCGATCTAGGATATGGTTCTGCATTAATAGCATTTTTTTATGTTGTTTAATCAGTTAGCAGTAGTAGTTTTGGGAGCATTCAAATGTACTAAGTGGGTGTCTGTATGAAAAGCCCTATCCAGTTTATCATGGTGGTGAATTTAGGATGTTCGATAATGTGGATCTTGAAACCATTTCCATTCTACAATTAAATGAGATGGCACAGAGGATTGGGCTTGTTAGATCTGTTTCATTCTACTCTATTAGTGAGGTTAATGGAGTGGAGAAGATAGTGGAAGATCGGGCATTTTCCCTCATGTGTGTTGACGCTTTGGATGGCAATAGATTAGTTGTGGTTTTTGCACTTGACGAAGATGAAGAACGATGTTTTGCTAGAAATGATTGATTCACGCATGGTGACCCTGATGATAGTGATGATGAAGATGACGTCCATGGAGTTTTGGAAGAGTGTGAGTGAGAATCTTCAGAATCTGAATGTTATTGTGAGATTCCTAACCCACAGCAATTGATTAGGGCCTTAGACTATGCATGGGTTTGCAAGGAAGCCAAGGATTGATTTCTTGTGTACTTCAAATCCTCTTTAATAATGGGTTCAAAGTTATAATCCTTTATTTTTTGTTCCATTTGTGTAAAATTTTGTATTTCGCTACAATCTGAACAAAACGGTTCAACGAAATCGAGTATTTCTACTTTGTTTTGCAATTTAGCATACGAAAAATCCCGACTTGCATTATTTATAGCACCAAAAATAGTTAAGGATTTAGATATATAGGACAACAATAGTTAAGGATTTTGATGTTTAGGATAAAATTAGTCAAGGATTTAGAGCCATAGGACCAAAATAGTTGAAGGTCTTGATGTACAGGACATAAATAGTACAGGATTTTGAGGTTTAGTACCAAAATAGTTAAGGATTTAGATACATAGGACAAAAATAGTTAAAGGTTTTTAAACTCTAGATTTTAATAAAATCTACGATTATATGCCTTTAATGTATTGATTCTCAGTCTACTAGAATCTTAATCCGTGTTAGAATCTTAAAAATCACAAATTACTGATGAAACAAAAAAATTAACTACAAATATACAATACCATCACTTTTAGTCTTTCACAGGTCAAATATACTCCCCCTTGGGAAAAAAAAAAAGAAAAGAAAACATTGTTTCCTCCTCTGAAAAAATCGCCAACAATCCATACTTTAAACCAAAAGGAATCCAAGCTAAACAATCCATACTTTAAACCAAAAGCTAAAAAATCCATACTTTAATCCAAAATCTTAACAATCCAAGCTTAACTATCCAACTAAACTACCAAAATACATCAATATGAAGAACAAAAGCCTAATAAAACAGTGCCCTAATCTGCTTTGGGTGGGATTGTTGCATCTTCCAAATCCTGATTACCAGCTGCATCTTCTGTGGGTGGCATATTTTCATTTGGTTCTTCTCTTTACATATCAGCAACTGTGCTTGTACATGTTGTCCTATAATGTCTAGTTTGCTTACACAATTGACATTGAACAGTCTTTTTTGTCTAGAAATTTAACATCATCAATTTAGAAGAAAAGAAAAAAAGATAAAGTAAATGAACAACATCTTGTACATGTTGAAAAACAATGTACCTTCTTTTTAGGCTGGCCCTTGGCATTGGGTTTCTTCTTCCTCTTCTTAGACTGCTCAAATGGAACAAATCCACTAGTACACTGCCTCTTGTTATGTCCTTCAAGGCCGCATTCAGAACACTTGTAGGTCATTGTGCCAATCCGAGACAGAACCTCAACATCACATTTTTTCTTTACACGCATTTCCCTCAACTCTTCCTTAGTCTTCTTTCTAGACTTTGGAGGTCGTCCAGCTAGAACAATTTTGTCAGGAGGCATAATATCTGGTTTCTTCGTCTTTTTCCACATTTCTTCACCATTTGTGGGATAAATGACGTACTTGTAAGTAGTTTCATAAGCTGCCTTCGAGTAATAATTGTATAAGCTTCAACGGGCTCCTTAATCTGACCGATTGCTGCAATTGCGTGATGGCAAGGTCTGCCTATCAACATTCACCTTCTGCACGAGCAAGTTCTAGCCCTTAGATCCACTGTGAACTATTCACCACTCTTAGTACTTACTTGATAATTCCATTCTCCAGCATCTACTGCCCAACACTCACATGTTCTCTCCTTTAATTTTTCCAGCTTCTTCCTTATTTTTGGGCCAACAACATCAACCAGTTTAGCAGAAGCTCCCTTTTCTAGCGGTGTCTCTCCATATGATACAAAAAGATCCATTTTAGCAAGGCCAGTAAGGCCTTTTCCCTAGCAGGAAGCAATACCTTGTTTATGCACTCGGAGATATTGTTCACCAGAACGTCACACTTCGCATGATACTTGAAATGTGACCTTGTCCAGTTCTTAGGGTTTGTGTTGCTCCTCAACCAATCGATAGCATAGGCCTCTAGAACTCTCAATTGTTCGATGATGGTCTTGTACCTTGCAGGATAAGTTGCTCTAGCTGCAGCCCACACCAAGTCTTTCAACGCTGGGCTTCCATATGCCATTTTGAAATTGTTGTTCATATGCCACACACACATTCTGTACTCAGCACCGAGAAGACATGTTTTTACTGCCTTAATCAATCAATACAACAAAGCAAATGATTAGTAAACCTAAAACCCTTTAAAAACAGTACACAGGTCCTAAACCTAAAGCCCTTAAAAAACAGTACATTAGCGAATGCATACAAACAATACACAGGTCCTAAACCTAAAATCCTTAAAAAAGTAATTGAAAAAACACACCTTTTGCTCGTCACTAATAATCGTCCATTTGCTTCGATCTTTGATGTCTAAATCAATTTGGAGGTTCCTGACAAACCAAGTCCAGGTGTACGTGTTCTCGGTCAACACCACAACATATGCAATAGGGTATGTCTAGTCATTTGGGTCAATGCCAACTGCAGTCAGCAAAATGCCCTTGGTAGGTCCCTTCAAGTGGCATCCATCAAGGCCAACGATTGGCCTACAGGCTTCTTTGTGACCCCTTTTAGACGCGTCCAGGCATATATAAATGCCTTTGAATTTTCAGTACCATCTGGCAGATCTTCCATATCCAAATCAATTGTAGAGCCTGGGTTTGTTCTCAGCAACTCAGCTTTATAATCATACAGTCGTTTGTACTGACTTACAATATTACCTTCAATCATTTCAATGGCTAAATTCTTCACTCTTTTTGCCTTGCCCCTGTGAACATACATACTCATCTTCGTATTAAGTTTCTCCTACAGTTGAGTCACCATTGTCTGGGGACATATACGAATATCCTCCATGAACATCCTTGCAAGATACTTTGAACTAGCACACCCATGGTTGTGATCCCTACCACCACAAATGTGTTTCTTGTTAAGGCGGGAAACATTCCGATAGCACTTTTTCGGCCTGTTATGAATAACGACATGCCAGTTGTAGTTACGTTCAGCACCTCTACACACTGTGTGGCACCTGACTTTATCATCCTTCTTGAAACGAATCTGTTTCCCCAGCTTCACACCTTGATGCTTGCACAAATCTTTGAACTCGTCCTTCGTAGAAAACATCAACCCAATTTCCCACCTTGGGTTATCATAATCTATATTTTTGTTGTACCTTCTAAACATTGGTCTTCGTGTTCCATCAGATTCACACTCAGTTTATTCACCACTGAGAAGTTCTTCGGACTCACCAGAACTCTCCAACTCTTCATCATATGCAACAAATTCATGTTGTAGTTTGAACTCAGGTTCCTTTAAAATCTCATCCCAAACTTTTGCCCTCTCTTTAACGATAATTTCTTCCTCTTTTGTATCCAGGTCATAGTCACTGTCGTGGAATTAAGCATTGCCATTTAGCTCTACCTCTTTAGCCTTGATCTTCTCCAGCATTTCAGCAAGGGTATCATCATCAGAATTATACTCTGTACATGTTCTGACCATTTTCTTCTTCTTCTTCTTCTTTTTCTTCCTTTTTCCCTTTCCTCCTTCACTGTTGCAGTCTTTTACTGAACCAGTTGCTGTCTGCACTACTTCTTCAGACCCACTGGTGTTGTGTTGTTTCTTTGAACAAGTGTTGACCTCAGCTGCTGCTTCAAGTTGGTCACTGTTGCACTCTTTATCTAAACCAGTTGCTGTCTGCACTGCTTGTTCAGAACCACTGGTGTTGTGTTGATTTTTTGAACAAGTGTTGACCTCAGCTGCTGCTTCAAGTTGGTCACTATTGCACTCTTTATCTGAACCAGTTGCTGTTTGCACTGCTTCTTCAGAACCACTGGTGTTGCGTTAATTTTTTGAATAAGTGTTGACCCCATGTGCTGCTTCAAGTTGGTCACTGTTGCACTCTTTGTCTGAACTAGTTGATGTATGCACTACTTCTTCAAAACCACTGGTGTTGCGTTGTTTTATTGAACAAGTCTTGACCTCAGCTGCTGCTTCAAGTTGGTAACTGTTGCACTCTTTATCTGAAACAGGTTCTGCCTGCTCTGCTGCTGTTGCATCACCTTCACTGTTGTATGTTTGTTCATAAACAATGTTCACCGCAACTGGTTTTTCATCACCAGCACACTTGGACTCTCTGTCTGATCCAATTTCTTCATCGTCTCCTTCTTTATCACAACCAGCACCCACACCAGTATTTTCCTTATCTGTTCTCCTCAGATTCTGTACATTTGGTCCTTCATCACAATCTATACTCTCCAAAATTTGTACATCAAGACCAGAAATTGTTCTTCTTTTTTGCACTCAGTTTCTTGTTTTTCTTCGTCTTAAAAGCAGCCATCTTTTGTCTTGGTTTTGGTCATGGACCGTTTAGAAGTTTATTTACCATACGTGGGGTGAGAACTTCCCGTGTAAGCTGACTATCAACCGGGTCATCTTCATCATCAGAAAGTTCACCGTCTTCATTTGGGTGCACCATAAACAGATCAACCAAACCATGCTCTAATCCAATTGCAGCCATGGGATTTGCAGAATCATTGAAAGACAGCAGCGCCAATCCTTCGTCCATGTCCTTTCCATGTTCCAGGAAATAATAACTTAGGTCACCAGGAATTTTCATATCATGTTCCAGGAAATAATACTTCTGTTTTTGACCAGTAATCTGCATTGCAGTTCCGCATGGCGGTGACATATCCACATCTGTACAATCTTCCAGGTGACTTGGTTAGAAATCCATTATAATGGATCCCCACAGTGAAGAAACCATCTGCACAAAATCCACACAAATGTTAGCAACTATTTTGGTCCAATACTTTTTAGCAGCAACTATTTTTGTCCTATACATTTTTTGTAGCAACTATTATGGTCCTATACAATTCAGTAGAAACTATTTTAGTTTAATTATTGAATCTATTCAGTAGAAACAAATTCAGCAACTAGTTTTATTCAATTATTGAATCCATTTTGACACTGCACTTTCATCAATGCACGAATAAGACAAATTAACTATACACATCAACCCTTAAAAAAACAAGTTCAAAGACAAAAAAAAAAATTGTATTCACAATCTATTGACTTGCTGTAATTTAAAAATCGATTTCCCTTCTCCAACAAATAAAAGAACAAAAAAACTATTTTCAACCTACATCTGCGGCATGAAGTTCGACAACGTCTAAAAATTGCATAAGGAAGATGCTTTTGTGAAGAAAACTTTATCACATTCATGTTCCACTAAAATCCCTTCTAAGTTTCAGACAAGGACCCATATAATAAACAGAGCTACCAAAAAGTTCCAACTTTTAATCTATTCATGCGACCAAAATAGGACCCATACAATAAACAATTCAATAAACAACTCTTCTGCTCCTCTTTCGACAGACATAGTGAAAAAGAAAAAATTATTGACATACAAATATCGAGTTTTACACCCTAAACTCACCTGTATTATGGTCTGGTTGGATGTTTCGGATATTAGATTTTGTTCGCCACATTTTTTCACCTGATGAACTCTGATTTTCTCGGTTTGCAGAAACCCATATTTAATCGACCACTAACACTCCGATTCTACTCCATCTCGTTATGATTCAGGGTTAGAATTTGGTTCTATCTTCAGATCTGATGAAATGGAGTTTTGGTTTTCGCAAAAGTGAGAACTCTGAAATGGAGTTCGAAAGTTCCAAAACTTGCTGCAAAAAAGACCCGAAAAATATGTTAAGTACTTCCCTAAAAATAATAATAATATTTTTTTACATTTCAGTTAATGTAGCAAATCAGTAAAAAAGTTTTTACGCAGCCTTTACAATTTTACTTCAGCCAATTTCCTTTTTTTTCAAATTTTGAATTTTTTGAATTTTGAAAATTTTTAATATTTTATAAAAAATTTTACTGTTCACAGTGGTAATTATTAAAAAAATTCATTTACTGCGGCCCCACCTTTTTAAATTGATGAAAATTTTATTTTTGATTTTTTGAAATTTATAAATATTTTATAATTATTTTATTATTATTTAATTATTATTTTATTCCTTAAATACTTGAAAATCAAAAGAGGAGCGAAAAGACAATAATACCCTCTATTTTCACGGTCAAAAGATAGAAAGTTACGTTGGGACGTAAATAGTCGAAAAATGTCTCTTTTTGGACGAAATGGGACGTAAATGAGCATTTTTAAATACACGGGATTAAAATGGTTATTCGACCAAATGTATGGGACGTTTTATGCAGGAATATGTCCCAGTCCCAGTGCCAGTATGACATCCACGCAGGGTAATCCGAAGTTGTGGAATTCGCGGGGGGTGGTGGGTAGTTTACCACTCTTTAATTGTAAAACATTGTGGACATGCTCTTTTGGCTCAAACGAGGGTGCCTGCTGATATATAGGTGTGTCCAGCTCTATGTGCATAAATGTTGCCGCTCCCTTCTTGCTCCATCTCCTCATTCTCCACATGTTCATTTTCGGCCACACTCCCTTCATTTTCATTCCGACCCTCAGACAGGACATTTCGCGAACACACATGCTGATTACCCGACTCTTTGTTGATCGTGCCAAGTGATTCAAATATTTAATCAATATTAATTAAATAACTAAATAATTAAACTAATATAAATTATTTCATTCAATAATATTTAATTTATTAATAAATCATATAATCATTAATTATAAATAATACTAATTAATATTAATCATATTGATAAAGTAATTCCATTAATTAAAAGAAAATATGATAAATAAATAAAAAATTAAAATACTAATTAATCGTAATTAAAAACTAAATTAAAATAAAATAACTAAATTATATTAGAAAAACTAAATTAAATTGAAAGAACTAAATTAAAAGAACTAAATAAATTAATGTTAATCACCTTAATAATAATCATATAACTAATTATATTAATCATATAATTAATAGTAATATCAATAAATTAAACTAATTAAACTAATTAAAACTAATTTAAATAAAAGAACTAAATAAATTAAAAGAACTAAATTAAACTAATTTTGAAATAAATAATTAATAAATAAATTAAATTACTGAACTGAAAAAAATTAATTAAAAAATAAAAAATAATTATAATTATAATTATTCAAAAAAAAAAGGCCCGGTAGCAGTGCTGCCGCCCTGGAAAAAGCAAGACGGTGACCGTGCCGTCTTGCTTAAGATGGACGGTGTCTGTGCTGTCCATTTTTCCGATAGCACGCGCCTGGGCCGTCAACTATGCCCGGAGACGGCACATGGGCCGTCCATGTTCCCCGGGGACTTCACCAAAGACGTCCTCTTTTTCTTGGACGGTGCCGCTGGCCACAACACTTGAAGGAGATCCTGCTGTCAAGTGTTGATTTGGACGATGGCCATACCGTCCAAATCTGTGGTCGGCGACACATGTGGTGTCCCCATCCATTCGGGACGGCATCTCAGTCGGTCGGCCAATTTTTTTCGGCCACTGCAGACGACGGCCGACCAATTTCAAGTTTTAAAAAAAAAAAAATTCCAGATTCAGATATTTAAAAATTCAACGATTTCAGTATGTTTGGAAGAAAATTTACTTGTTCCCGTGCTTGTTTCTCGCGATCACGATTTCCTCCGGCCATCAATTTGAAGATTTGAGTGTTTGACTGTGTGAGTGTTTGAGTGTTTGAAAGATACGTGTTTGAGTGTTTGAAAATTTTGAAGGTTGAAAGGAGTTTTAAATTTTGAATTTAAAATTTGGAATATAAGGGTAAAATTGGAAGTCAACAATTAGTCGGGCTATATCTTTTTCCTGGCGGTCTTTGAACTTCGAGTTCATGAATTGTTAGCCTCTTTTTAATTTGTGCGTTGTAACTGAAATTTGATTTCTGAGTTTCTTTTGGTGGGAGATTTTTGTTTTACTGGTTAAAAATTAGAATACTTATGTTAATTGATGTCTTTGGCTGTATTTGGCGCAATCCATCTATCCGCAAAGGCTCAATTGGAGGATTTTGGACAAAGATGAAAAGCGTAAAAGGAATTGAACATTAAAATGATACATACTATTACTGATCTCTGATCTCTGATCTCTGATTATACCAATTTCATACTATTACTTGTCAAATATTAACCACAACTTTACCAAGATGGAGTATTGGAGTACAAAATGAGTTTGAACTATTCAGATTGGGAATATTTTTCAAATGATCTAATCAACTAAACAACCCTCTTATTTGCAAGATGCCTCAATAGACAACCCGCGCTCTGTTTTCGAGATGCATTAATTGGTAATATCCAGTTTTCCATTTGGCATTTGTGTTTAAAAAAGAACATCCAAGTTAATTCATTCTTCCCATGTTGAGAGTTTGCCAGATGGATGTGTTTGCTAGATGGCCCAGGAAAGAAAGAAAATCCGAACGGCATCATTTCATATAACTTAACTGCCAGATTTTGCCTGATCCCACATGGCTCGGGCTGTATGTGACCAGCCAACCTTGAGATTTTGCCTTTCTATAGCAGCGGATTCCAGTTATGCACCTTGTATGTAAGTTGTATTACCAAATCCAGATCAACAAATTGCAATGGAATGCCTCTGCATCTCAAGCCAATCAACTATATCTCGTGCCTCATCATCCAGATCTCCTTTAATTACCACTGCCATTTTCATTATGCACGTCAATGCAATCTTCCAAACAATAGGAATTGTATAAAGCATAACTCTGATGATGGCGGCACAAAATAAATCTACAATAACATGGATTGTGAAAAAGGGTCAATTTTGAGAGTAAGTTTAGAGATCTTACCCCCGCTTGATAACACTATCACCAATGAACCCTGAAAAATATGAACTTAGAGACTGATTCGGAAAGCTAACACATCTCCCATCTGGCCCATCTAATATATAAGGCCTCCTGAATTGATTAATAAAATGGAAAAAAAAAAAAAAGGAATTACAAGAATCTGAAACTTATGGGATACATAAAATTTGTGAAAATCACCCAGAGATGGACAATATTACATACAGGTAAATAAATGTATACACTCAGCAGACAGAGAACTCGGCTGTGTGGCTTCACTCAAACAAATGGGCTGACTAAATTGATTATTGCATCTCCATTTCAAACGGGCCTTGAACTACAAAACTGTTGTAATCAAATGTAACAGAATACTACCTGATTTAATCCAAATAATTTTACCTTTTATTTTTTTGGGAAAATTTGTATCAAGAGCAGTGGACAAAATTATATTAACAAAGGTGTACAACTTTTCAATAATTTATATTAGAGGCGGTAAATTACATCCTAAAAATTTACAAAATTAATTTAGTTTGTCTTTGACATAATTGACCTCGTATCTTTTATTTATTTCAAGATTTTTTTTAACAGATCTTCTTTTCCATCTCCATCAAATCCGTATGTGTTTATTGCCGCTCAGGTTGGATTGATAATACTCGTATAACTTCTGCCTCTTCTCATCAAATTCATGATTCCTCGGCTACAACAAACCATGATTGCCTACGTTTTGTTTTTTATTTTTTAAAGAAACCCCAACGATTCCACTTATAATTTCTCCAAAAGAGTGGACTTTTGATTTAACAACAAAATCCGATATGTGATCAGAGGTGAAGGTTTTCTCTAATCCAAAAATTCCAGAGTACACGAAGGAGTACATGAATTGAGAAGGAAAAGTGAGGGGGGAAAATAGGGAGTATGAGAAGGAAAAGTGAGGGGGGAAAATAGTACTC